CACCGCAAATAACAGGCCAACAACCGCCTTTTCGCCAACATCCGCTGCAGTTGTCTCGAGAACAAGAGTTAGAACAAAAAACTCGTCTCTTAGAACAACAGCTGATTCAGCTGCAACAACAACAACACTTCCAACAACAGCAGCAGTTCCAACAACATCAACAACAGCTCTTGAAGCAACAGCAACTCCTACAGCAGGAACAGTTGAGGCAGAGACAGCAGCAGCTGTTCCTGGAAGAACAACAGAGGTTGAGGCTCCAACAACAGTCCTTCCTTCCCTTAGGGCCACCGCCATCACCACAGCGGCAAAGACCTCAAAGGCAGGAGACTGGCACCGGAATAGTGGATTTTCAGCAAAGCGTTGGTTTCCAGTACAGACAGCAGCCGAACACCCCCTTCCCGCAACAGTTCGTCCCGAACACATTCCAGCAGGGTTCCAACCCGGCGACGACGGACTTCGTATTTAAAAACCAGAACACCTTGAGGCAGAGTGTTCATCCGCCGTCCGTGAACAGCCAACTTCAAAACCTTCTGTACCAGTCGGGTGTCGCCGGGGACCTGCAGAACAACGGAGCGTCGCCTCAAGAAGATCTCAACATTGTGTCCAAAATTCTCTCCCTCAACCACGAAGGAAGAGCGAACAGACCTGGCAGGGAGACGCTTGAACCACCGTCCAGAATAATCAGACCGCCATTTCCATAACTCTGCATACACACACACACACACCGTGAAGGAAAATACGGGGACAGAGTTTTTTTTCCGGTTTGCAATAAGGATAAGTGGAGGTACGCCGAGATGCCTCCATCATATTCATCATTCTTCACCCCTGAACGGGCAGGGGTCAGATAAGACCGCTGTCTGAGAGACAACAGTCATCACAACCTCTCCACAAACATACACCAGGTGAATTAACTAAAGTGCTTCAGACAATCGTCTCCCGTTCGCTACCTGCGGAATGTACATTAATCGAACGCAACCTTAAATAGGCGAAATGCGCCTGGACGGACCAAGGAGGATCTTGTACACAAGGCATCTCCCAAGAACAAGACATAAATGTCGTCGCTTAATCTAACGTACTCGGTTTAAAATAAACATTTCTGTTCTGAACACTGAACACAACGATTTCTGTACCATGTCTTGCCTTCACGCAACCCAACTCAGTACTGAAATACCAAAATGGAGGCCCAAAACAAGTGACGAATGTTTTGTTTCGGTATGGATGTGACTTTCGAACTCAAATTACTTACAACATTCTCTACACAAGTTTCACAGCGCTAAATTTTGTTGAATGTTAAATGTTTGCCATGAATTCAGAACGATGTGGGATGAAACAGCTGTCATGTAGTTTTAAGGGTTTTTTCCCGGAGTGACCGAGGAAAACCACGAAACAACATTCAGTGAGGGTAGCTCTAGGTCGAGAGGATGCATACTTTTGTCCGCGGTTATTGAAAAGTTGCGCACAGAAGGGTTTTCCTCTACTGCAAGATACTTAAAAGCATTCGCGTTCTTGCAGACGATAAACACGTGTTTACAAATTCTACCGAAAAGCTTCTTAAGACATTTATATCAGCAAAATTCTGAAAATTACGAACCCATATTCATTTTTTGGGGGGAAGACTTACGAAAGATGCGGTTTTGTTCTTAATTGTTCTCTTTTTGAGCAGCCATTACTTTAAAAAAAAATAAAAACTAGATAGATCAATACTGATTTAATAACCCAAAGATTAATTTTCAGTAATGTAACAGAAATTTTCAATGGGTAATGTAATACAGGGTTGTTACAGAACTTAATCCTACTTTTACCGCCTTTGTGACGAATTCCAGCTACTAAGCCCTACACCAGATATTCCAATCAAAATTATGTTGGCATTTTAATTTAATCCGTGCGTCCCAAACATGACCCACATCAAACGTCTTTGTTTAATCCTGTTAAGGCACAACCATATTAAAGAGAGATCATAAAAACAAAGGTGTGCCTCTATCTAAGGAGCAAGGCAACATATTTGCTCATAAAACAAATATTCGTAAAGATTCCCCCACAACCCCCAAAGGGTGGTGACTTATTTTCATAGAAATCCACGGTAACCATGGTAACCTAAGTACAACAGTCAACAGCATTCACATAGAAAGAATAAAGAATGCATCAGACAGTATGTTAACATGTTATTATATTACAAATATTAAAGTGCTAATGTTAATGTTATACAATGTTCTATAATGTAACGCATATAAATATATTACTTAAACCATGTCAATAATTGCAATGTAAGTTAAGGAAGAGAGAAAAAAGAACTCTTTTATCTTCCTCCGAAACATTGTCAACTGCCTAAATAAGACGAGAGATCGAAGTGAAGATCATTTTCAACCCAGACCTGAAGATAGAGGTAATGTGTTCCTTCGAAACCCTTGAATCTACCTAAACGTCCACACGGAATTACAACCCAGAAAGAAATCGATACTTCAATCACAAATTCAATAGAATCTTGCACACACTAACGAAGGATACAATTTCATTTTGCCGGTCTAAAATGATATGGTTAGGTTACTGATGCGCATACGCGGGGGATCCTCGATAATGACGTCATTATTCTATCCCACAAAATGCAACGCTAGTCACGATGATATTGCACTGTGTAGGAAGTACGAGAATATGAAACTGGCGTATTACGTGTGTTTTGGCGTCTCGACGACTTGAGTCGGGACGCTCGGCGTCGTGGCGATCAGTGTCGATTCAATAATGTCGTGTCTTAGGGCATCTCTAAGCTCATCTTATTTACATACCATTTTAGTCTAGTCGCAATTCTTCTATCGTGCTTAGTTTCCGAGCTACGGTAAGTAACCTCAGAGGGAATCGAACTCAGGACATTTTTCCGGATATCACCCTCACATGATCTCTTCCTGGTCTCAAGAAACAAGCACGCCAAATTTGGCGCAAATCAGTATAACCATTCGCGAGCTATAAGCGGACAAACAAAATCAGCAATTTAAACTTCAAATGTAAAAAAAAAAGATGGCAGTCTTATGGGTTGTAGCGCCGCGTTGTCTGGTAGAAGTTCACCAACGATTCAGGAGTCCTTGCTGCCTCCGTCAAGGCGATCGCCTTGATGATGGGTACAGGCTACACGAAGCTACAACTCAGATGTCAGCCATCTTAGTAGCAAGTTCGTGACTGTAGTGGCATGCCATCTGGTGGTAGGTGGTAGAACTTGGACTGTGCATTGTATCGATTCTGCGTGTGTTCACACAAAATTGTTTGCATTCCCGGCATGTTGGTATTACCTGTGCCTGGCACTGACTCTGTGTGAGGTCTGTGACTTTCCAATATGGCTTCCGAGAAAAACATTGGTTGTATGGAAGACGAGGCACTGAAACGCAAGGAAAGGTTAAAGGCACTGAAACGAAAGCATGATGAGACTGATAAAGAAGGGGATAAGTCAGAATATGTCAGTACGGAGGGCCTTGCTAGTTTACCAAGGTTAGTATGGTTTGTTACTTACGTTAGGATTTTGTTAATAGTACATAATAATATGTTTTTAAATCTGTAACAGTTAATACAATCAGCTGCTTACTCACTTGACTAAAATCCTCGAATAAAACCATAACAGTATTTTATGTTGAGCTGTAATTTTGAAATCTGTATCAGTATAAGCAAGCAGCAATTTGTGGTTGTATCTTTGTAACATCTTTGTTATATAAAGATGTATATAACCGGTCATTTCAGGCCAAAGTTCCGCAGTTATAGACCACAAGATGTCACCTTGAAAGAAAACATTTTACCTGTTGCAAAACCAGGTGATGTTGAAGCTGAAGTAAAGGATCAGCTGGGATCTGGTAACGTCAAAGTTGTTATCGAAGAACTGGTAAGTACATTTGGAAAAAAAAAGTGATGATCATTTTTAGGCAAGAACTTATTGAATCAATATTAGTGCATGGTTTTGTATCATTTACTCTCCTGAAACATTATTTTGTATATCTACATTCATTAAATTAAGTTTGAATAGACTGTGTTGGGGTAAGTAACCTTAAATGCAACAAAATTCATTGGCAAGTTTAAGGGTTTCAGTGTTGGGTCAGATAACTGTAGGAATACACCAAACTGACAGAAATAATATTGTGAAGTTTCTATTCTTTAGTTTTATAAACTGGAGGACAGGGACCAGTGGTGGGCAATTGTGAACATGGAAATTAACATTTTGGTTACATGAAAGCTGACAACCGTCAGCCTCCAAAGATTTATTTTTGTTGCAGGATATTACCAATTTGGCACCCCGCAAACCAGACTGGGACCTGAAGCGAGATGTCGCCAAGAAACTGGAAAGGTTGGAGAGGCGAACTCAAAAAGCGATTGCCGAACTGATTCGCGAGAGGCTTAAGGAAGGACAGGAGGATTTAGTCACGAGCGTTAACATGGGTGCTAGTGCCAGTCAGAACCTGGATGTTGACGAAGACTGATTTAGTTGCTTTTGTGCATATTTTGTTAAAGGGCTTTGTGGTTTAGTCTGTCGATAATAAAATTTTCATGTTGTCACACAACTCCTTTATTTAAAAAAATCTTTGTTTTTATCGCACTGTTCCCCGGATATGACTTGATTTGTCGACGTCGCGACTATCTTTACCTGAATCAGCTGCACGCTACCACAGTCTACAAATTACGAATTTGTTGACCTATCGACAGACCCGCCAACATTTATTCAACATTACTTATGTTAAAATATATAATAAAATTCAGGTCAATACACAAACTTATTGACCTGAATTTTATTATATATTTTAACTATAAAACACAAACATGACGCATTTAAACCTTATTACTTATGTTGTTGAAATCTTGTAAAATATATTATTACAATAAATGTTTTATAAAACTACAAATTTATTTAGTTCCACGGTTTCCCTTTTTGCGTTCTTCGTTAAGATTTGACCATAATTCCTCCGATGTTCCTTGTCACTGTTTCACTTTATTCCTTTTTGTTGCATACATTTATGAATTTTCGAATTACTTATTTATAGTGGTATATATATATATATATATATCACCTCGTCTAATTCTGCAATGGGTCGCACGTATCTGTAATTCCAAATGGATGGTACTGAATAGCTGTCCATTCAAAAAGTTAACAATAACTTGCTGCAGTCTAAGGTTCCACGAGCCTAAGTTCTCGGGAGTCTCGTGTTCGAGTGAGGGACGCAAACACGAATCAAAATCCCGAGAATCTGCCATACCGAAGTACACACAAAAGAAATATTAATGAATACAAATATTACGTGCACAAACTAAGTAAGCAAGTTTTTGTATTTCCTTATATAATTTCGCTGGACTTGAATATGAAAATATTTTAAGTCTTTCTGTTTCTCACTGATCTGAATCCGATCTGTTAACAAATCGCATCACATTATTAAACTGAACTTCATGAAGACAAATTCTCATCTTGTATCTTCAGTGCGCAGTAAGATTAACCAATAATAATAATAATAAATTTAGACTCAAGCCCGATAGAGGAACAATTATATTGGACTGTATTTTAATTACGAACTGCAAAAATACTGGCTGAAGGAAGAGTTTGGGCTGCCAGGCACGGCCTGGAAATCCTGAGACAGAAATGAAGATTAATAGCACCTCAGCTTAACAATTAGCCTAAAACGCGAGGTCGTCCATCAGGATCTGGCACTTTGCTCCTTGGTCCGTACAGCTGCTTACAACCATGGCCGCATAATACTACGCGTTCGTAATCCGGAGACCCGTATTCAGTGCCACGCCCTTCGTCGCGATCCTCACACCTGACAATAACCTCTAAATCTATTGAGAATACTCCAAATTCGAGTCCTGAAAGGAAGAGACCAATTTGGAAGACCTTATCATAGATCGGAGGGCAATGTTAAAAGTCAGAGTAAGAAGAAATTGTATATAATAATGTGAAATAGATTCATTTGGTTCAGATTTGAACAAGATCTGGGCTGTTCTAAACACGATAATGAATATTCGGATCCATAAAATGTGGGTAACTGATCGAACAGCTGGACGACTATTAGCTTCTCAAGAAGGATTATGTTGTATGGAGACGGTCTATTAGAGGTAATTTACACTTGTAGGTTGTGTTGAACGTGTTATGTCCGCCAAAAATCATTTAAAAAACCCCGAGAAACTTTTCGCATTTATTTCTAAATCGACACTAATTTTCCTGGTAGGATATTGGAATATTATTCCGACAACTAACACTTTATCAAAGCAAGTACAAAATCTTCCTAATTCTAAATAACACATTCATGACGGTTTAAAAGCTCTCTAAATGCAGACAATAGAATTGAAAGACTTGATACTCGTTACACAGATGAAAATCCGTCACTGTGGTAAACCCACTTACGCGTAAATGAAACATCTCGAGAAAGTTCTACAAAGAGTACTAAATCCTGATCTGTCTGCGAAATGTGAAAAGTTTGAATTTATATTAATTAAAAAAAACGACGTCAGTGCGACTTGATTAAAAAAAATGTTTCATTTTAATACAGATCACCTTCAACGTAAGGCAGCGGTGAAATTTTTTCTAAATTACAGAGCGGTAATTAGACAAATAAATTTACGTACCAGACTGACTCATATATTATTTTAAACAGGAGAAATTAATATGGGACAGAAAATCACAAAACAATCTACTCACCGAATGAAGATAGACGAGCATGTGCAAACCTGAAATTGAGAAACGAAATTTATAAAATTGATGCAGAATTTTCATAGTGGCACATTTAATAATAAGTTACATTTAATAAATACTTACGTACTCCCCTGTTCCAAAAAAAAAATTGTTATTCAATGCTAGTTTGTGTACGTCCCCTGTATATTAAACTCATTTTAAGAATTATTCCTTCGCTTTGCGCATGTCAACTGTTGTCAGTGGGCATAACTGAGCCAATCAACGTTCATGTCAAACACTGCATTCGTAAAGTATTACAATGATTTTACAATTTTAATAAATGTTATGGCACCTGTAATTTTACACTAAAACCATATAGCATTAATCAGAAACTTTAGCGATTACAAAAAACTTTAAACTTGCACGCACTAAACGAAAATTCTCTGTCTGCTTACGATGTTCCACAATCGTCATAATTCAGCTGTTTCGGGATATTCCGGATCATATTTAAGTTACTCTTGTTACAGGGCGCACTTACGTTCCATTAGTGATCAAATGAACAATGAAAAATGTTCCTAAGTTGGAGGTTCAGTTTGCTGTAGGATAGCTAAAATTTATTTTTAAGGTAGTATATATGCGTCATATTGTGAATTAGGTTAATATTTTAATATTTTCCGTCAAATCACAATTTTTAATAAGATAATAAAATATAAAATATTTAAAATATCATTTCACGTTCCGCATCGAATGATCGATTTACAAATTGGAACGTCTTAAATATTTTATATTTTATTATCTTATTAAAAATTGTGATTTGACGGAAAATATTAAAATATTAACCTAATTCACAATATGACGCAAATATACTACCTTATGAGCTTTAAATGTTATCATCAGTGGTGAATAGTCTACATAAGAATCCTGAGAGGGGTAAATTAAAATCTAGAGCATTACCGCTGTACCACCTGCTTGGTTTGTGAAAACTATGGACTCCCGTCCAACCAGTGTAAGTCGTTTACAGCTCTCAATCGGAAAGTGGGACACATTTTCCGCTTGAAGAAATAAATATGTCGGCTGGAGTTCAGTCCGCGGGGCAATCCGAATGCCACGGTGTCGTTATTGACACTTCTGCTGGAAATCGAGAGGTTCTGGCTTTGTCTCTGCCTAAATGTGGGAGGGCTTTGACGGGGTTCAGTCACATGCGAGCTGATCTTAACTATTGCTGTATCCCTATTATTATCTCCATTCAATCACTTACAATAACGTTATAAGCAATGCAGTTGATAGAGTGAGGTTAAATACACAAGAGAATGAAAATCGAACAACAACCGGAATCAATAAATAAAGTGAGATTTGAAGTTCTCACGGGAGCGAATATAAAGACGAGTGTCATCTGGGATGTAGCGGCTTGCAGTTTGTAGATGTTTACCGACGTTTCAGAGGTGTTCACTGCCTCAATCATCAATATTAATACTATTTATTCGTGTTTTCTCTGTTTATTCCTCATATATTTAAAGAAGTTTTCGGAAGCTAATGTCGTTTAGTGAAAAATGATAGAGAATTATAAGTTAACTGGAAAAAGACGTAGAATGTAGTTATGGTGGCATAATTTAGGGTATAATCCCGGTGCCTTATTGCAGGAAGCAACTGATATATATATATATGGATTTTGATGGACCAGGACAGGGTCCGGTGGAGGGATTTAGTTAATTCGGTGATGAACCTTCGGGTTCGGTAAGCCATCTACTTAGTTATATGTATGATGCGAGTGATAAAATGGATTTAAATGACTCGGAATAGGCAATGTTCCTTCGAGTACCATAAAAGGCGGGGAATTTATACGAAGACGAGACACCTTGATTATCACCACTTACACATTTTTTTTACGTAACAAACAATTTAATTTGAGGATAAATAAATCATATAAATGTAAAAATAATAATTTAAATTGTTTATTGTGCTATAACGTTACAAAAAAAAAATTTTATTCCTAAATGATTTTGTGTTTTACGGAAACTAACGCAAAACGCCTGAAACCTGTCATGCGTCTTGAGGCTTGCAGGGATAAAATTATTATTTTTGTTTTCAGTTACAGGACGCATGCGCAGAGGCTCCGTCCATTTATTGTTACCACGATTGGGGGTGATAGAAGAAGGGTTTGGGTCGCCAAGACCGATTAAGGGCTCCACCGTGATCCTCCTTTCATTCGGCCGGGCCCTTTCGCTACCTCGTACTGTAGGCGACTTGCAGACCTACGCTTGCGCCGTTCCTCTGGATCCTGTTGCCGGAAGCTGCGGAGGGAGAGATGACGTCAGAGTGAGTGTTGCGTCGACGCTGGCGGCTGGGTATGGCGTCGAGTCCGGTCTAACCGGTGATGTTACAGTAGTAAACTAGACACGGTGTGAAGCATCGCGTCACAGTTCAGAGGGATGCTGTTGCTCCTTCGACATCATGCTCGAGATGCGTCCAATCGCCGCTAGGGGCGCCGTCATGGTCACAGCGACGCTTGTGATGCTGTTTCTCCTGCCGATGACCGGAGCCACGGCCGACAAGATTCCACTTGGTGAGTGCTCGTAACTTGTAGAGCGAAGGGGGCTGAAAGCTTCATCTCAATCTTAATCTTTGAGTTGGACTCTTTCTTGTTCAAGTTTCTTTACTTAACAAACACAGGCTACCAAACTGTGAATCGAGTTTTGTCTTTTCAGCGAACTGGCGATAAAATATACCAATTTTTTTTTAAATTTACACGAGTATTAATTGTTAAAATGTAAATAATTCTGTAAAAAGAGCTGTTTTGTTTATTAACTTCTAATGTTTTCGTTTTCAGCAAATTATTGCGTGTCTCTGAACACAAGACAATGAACAGGAAACTTTAAGCGTTTAACATCGCATTTATTTTATGGTAATTCTTACAACTATTCCATTTAAAAGTTGTCGCCTTCGAATCTTATCACAGTGTCGGCATGGTCCCAACCAGTAATATGGATTTCTGTACTCTCGGTCCATTGTGTTTCTTTGTAAGGACGCAGAACACCGATTTAACATTGAATCGTCACGTGACTTCTACAAAGATACATTTATTTTTCCCGTATCTTGTGCTACATCCCGTCATTAGCTAATTATTTAAAGCCACCGACGTCCATTCGTACCGCCTAAAACTTGTGCACGTGTTGGACAGATGATGTTTAAGAGAAAAATTGATTTTTTTAATTAACAAATTAACAGCTTGCATAGTCTATCTGTCGTGTGTAGATAGTGTACAGAAAGAGCATTCTTACATCACTTTCCATGTATTTTATTGATACGTGTGCAATTATTATTTTATTTTAATTTTTTTTCATTTACACAGAATGTGTTTGTACTACACTGTGTAAGTCTTCTGTAATCTGAGGGTTTCTGTCTGTTGAAGACAAATAAACAAATATATAAATTACACGAGAATAAAGTATGAATATTTTTGTAAAGGAACTGCTTCTCATCTATATTAGTCAGTGTGAGAAAGCTGTGTATATTCCATAAAGAAGCGAACACTTCAGGTCGAAGTTTTCATCAGAATGAGAAATGTATATTGCACATCTGAATTAAACGTTTAGTAAGGAATTTGTTTTAAAGGCACCAACTTCATATCTCTCAACATTTCTTGTCCTATTTTAATTTTAATTAATTAATTAATTTTACAATTATTTAAATAAGGAGGACGTAACCCATATACAGAGTAATTTTAGAGAAGCTGACAGTGGTTCAGATACACACAGTTAAATTTATATTTTTGATTCCTGATGATATTAAAATGAGGGAACAACGAGAAGCTGGATGTCTATAAACTTCCCGATTTCGTGACGATGTGACATTTCTACATTATGTAGATGAAGAACCACGTGACTCTTGAATGAATGTGACACCCGCAAAGAACAGGTGAACGCTTTGATTCTGATTCATGAACACGAGAAGGTTTCGAAAGAAAGAGTTTAGCACAGCGCAGTCAAATTCGGAAACCTGAATACTGCAGCGACGCCCCGGCTCGTCTTAAAAACAAAAGTTCCGGGCACCGGATTTTAATACCACACCGGACACGCGACCGAATGAAAGCCATTAATTCCCTTTCATCGCTTCTAAATACGTACATGAAGTGTTTTCAGATTAAAATTCCATAATTAAAGTCAGATGTCGTATTAAACTTGAACAAATTTCACATCTAAAGTAATTTAATTAACCATTCTGTATCTTACTGAATTTCTCTTATTTACATCAGTTAGACGCCAGAACATGTATTTAAATTCCCACTGTGAGTTAATGTATTAAATTTGAAGGAATATTATATTTTAAACAATCTCGCCTGTTCCTTATAAACGCTCGTATATGCCCACATGTCTGCACGGCGTTAAAACCCAGAAAACAAAAGTCTACAACATAAAATTCAAAAGCCCATGTCTGAAAATATATAATAAAATTATTAAATTACACCAATCCCTTGCAAACCGCAAACCTCAACTATCAAAACCGTGAGATCACGGTCTGATGGTAAATTAGTGATTACTGTCAGCACAGTCGCTAATAACAACATTCATGAAGCGAAGTGAAGTTTCTTGCGTCTTCATTAAACACGGAAAATAAGTAATAAAATCTGACGTAAAATACGGGCACATAAATACAGCTATAAAAAGACGTAACACCGTGGCAATTTGTTGCTGATGAACTTGTTTTGGTCATCCCTGTTTCCAGCAACTACTGGTCTCTTGATGCAATAGCTTATTGAGAAATTAATAACACCTCAGGTGGTCAATAAATTCCCCTCCTGTGATGAAAACCGGGCTCATGTCCGTGTTAAGAATGAATCTAATCCACATTATCACACAGAATTCCTCAAAGATGCATTTTAATATTATCCTCCCTTCCTTCCAATCGGCCCTTATTATACTTTTGTATTTCCCCATCTTCCAGCTGTTTGCTACATGCTTCGCCAATCTCACCTCTCGTACTCGATAGCTCTATTAATATTTAGTGATAATTTTTAATAATTTATTGTGCAGATGAGTTGTAGCATCAGAAATTTTTGAGTAAAAAAGGCAGTTTCTTCAGTCTAAGTTAATTTGCATACATCGATATCTTGAAAGCGTCGTTTCAATTGTAAGTGTCGCATAATAATGAAGGTAATGTGACTTCCGATGGTGAATGAGCATGGAATAGGAAGGAGTCGGCACCTATTTATCTGGTCATTAGTTGCAAAAGATATTGAAAGTGACTAAAAAATGTTGGGGCAGCTGTTATCAACCGCATCTCTAGCTGGGCGCCTCTCGGATTATTATTATTATTATTATTATTATTTAGTGTTCTGTGTGACGACAGGTCCATATGAACAGGATCCTTCCATCCTTTTCTCGGACTGGGACCTGTTCATATACGTTCTTGGCAGATGATCCAGAAGTGGTTTGCCATTGCCTTCGTCTGTGTGTGAATGGAGTAATTGTTGGGATGCCACGGAGGAAAACTCCTCTCGGATACAAAAACAAAACTTTTGCCGCTAAACAAACTCTGTGGGTCCGATTCATGCAACCTGTTAGCACTCTGACGGGAACATGTAGGCGGAATACCAAATTATGAGGGCGATCTGCTACCTGATCCATGTTTGTACATCCCAAAGTCCCACTTCCCTATCTCTGGGCACAGCATCCCTTGCAATTATCTCGGACCGTTTTCATACCAAAAGTACTCAGGAGCCCGGTGCCTGCTTCGGTCTGCGCGCGCAGAATTTCCGATCGATCGCCTTTCCCTGTTCTGTTCAGCACAAAAAAACTAACACACACACCCACATTCTACATCAAGTGTTGTGAACTAGGGACAGACCTATTTCATCTGCATACATGCGGTTCTAAAGGAGCTCTCCCGCCATTTTAACTCATCTTTAGAGACCAGCGGTAAATACGACCTGAAATAAAACGGAAACAAGTTATAGATAAGCAACGAGGACTTGGGTACACGGAGACGAGAGTGTCTATGACGTCATTCGAAGATGACGACTTGGCATATTCTGTATGCACCTTCTGGGGGCTAGCGGTCTCTTCCGTTCGCTTACGGTGAGTAGTAATGGTCTCTCCTATTCGCCATTTTTATGAAGATGTAGCCTGAGGAAACCGCAATGAAAGGGCAAACGAGTCTCAACTGCAGGGCAGAAAATTGGATTTCTGTGTGTGCGTCCGCGTGTATTTGGCGGACAGACGAAATTGTGACAAAATAACATCGCGGTGCGTGATACTTTAAGTGGATGACGGTGAGGGGAGGGACGCGGCAGTATATATAAAACTGACCAGCTTTTGAAGCAAACATTTCTTTGCGTTCAGTAGGCTCTTTGTTGTGCGATGGAAGGTATAAAAATTGGCATTTCACTCGAAATAAGAACTACGGTGTTCGAAGTGAACGAACGCACAGAACAAGAGGACCTAACAAAGGCTCAGGTATTATCAAAGGAATCAATCAGAAACTTTAACATGGACGGTTGACAGGTTATGCTGTAAGTTAAACTGATAACCTTCGAAGCTATAAATAAAGAGGATTTCATTAAGACTTAAACCTAAACCGTTAATTAAATAAAAACTTTTTATATCTTCTCCCACTATCAGATCATTTAAACTCATCGCATCTTGACTCATCACTCTTTATTATTCTCCATTATATTTTTTTTAAAATTTCCTTTAAGTGACTATAGAAACGAGGACCGCCACGGTGGTCTAGCGGTTAGAACGCTGGCCTTGTAATCCTGGGGTCTCGGGTTCGAATTTATAACTTGTGTTGGGCAAGGCCGTGGTCTAGGCAACACGGAGTTTTCCTCCGTGGCATCCCAACAATTACTCCATTCACACACAGAAGAAGGCAATGGCAAACCACTTCTGGATCATCTGCCAAGAACGTATATGAACAGGTCCCAGTCCGAGATGAGAAAAGGATGGAAGGATCCTGTTCATATGGACCTGTCGTCACACAGAACACTAAATAAATAAAAAGAAACGAGGATTTAACAATTACCACATTGGCCTCGTCACATCTGATATTAGTAAGCTCAGAAATCGTGTCCTGTGCCGAAATACACCTAACATCGTGGGGAGTCCCCTTGATGACATCACGCCCAGACAACCAGTTGGGGGAATTCCCCGTTATTTCAACACCCTTCCAGATATGAAAGATACCTATGTCAGGCAGATCTTACTGACCCTTTGACAAATCTGATTTATGTGAGGTCATTCGCAAAGACTGCCGACCATTCTTCACTAAACATCGTCCAACTACTTCCACAGAACGAAAATATAACACGACGAACACGTAAAAATTGTTACACTACGCGTACACTTCCTAACTTGATATATTTCCCCTGCGTTTCTGAGTTTTCCTTCGCCTATCTTCTAAATGCTCTTTATGCACTGAGTTCAATTACGTTCGCGCTGCAGGGAACATTAATTTTTAATACTTCAAGCTGTGTTAGACGCTGCAGTGTTAATCAGAAGTACATCCTAAACATCGGATAATAATTTCCCGTTTTCACATATTGAAGTCTTGACGGTCACGTTCGCC